ATATAAACTTCATTCAATAGTTTCTAATAATACATTTTAATACTTCTTATATTGTTCTTATAATGATTACTTTAATTGTTTTAATAACTTATATGTAGTTAAAAACAAATAATTTAAAATAAAAAAATGTACATAATAATTAAGTTGGCGAATATCTAGTTCCAATGAAAAATATGGCGTTAAAAATTATTTAGAAATTATCAAAATCGAATTCTCTTTTTAAAAAAACTGTTATTGTTAGTGTACTGGTATTTGAATTCCACGAAGATTTAGACAATTGTTTATGGACATTATGTTGGAATGGCAAATGCATCCTGTATTTGGGACTTCTCACTTCTACCGCTTCATCGCTAACATCCATACAAATATCAGCATATTGTTCATTTGGCAATTTTACAATTATAACCATTGCTTCACAACTCGATGTCAATGGCGTTTTTAATCCCATCTGTAACAGAATCATACTTAAACGACTAAATATAACTTTAATGCTTCTATATTTTTAATAATAATAATAATAATTTGTTAGTGCCAGCCTAACCCATCCTACTGACGATTTCGGGGGCTATTGGTATTTTTAAAGTTGAGGCACGCTAAAGGTCTGCAATGTAATAAGTAAAATGCTAATTAAATTTAAAATAAATATTGTAGTTTAACTACAATAAAAAAAAATAAACATATTAAAAAGATTTCCTGTTATTTGAAATAAATAATGGCATGCTATTAATTATTTAAAAAAGTTTATTTTTAAATATTAATAGCAAAATAAAAAAAATTGTTTTTTTTAGCTTTAATGTCAAATAAGTCATAGAAAAAATACGGAGATATTTATCTTTTTTTAATAATGAAGTACTCTTAAAAAGCTTAAATTTGATATAGATTAAAATTAAGCAAATATTTTGGAACATTTTCAAAAATTGAGCTATTAAATTTATTTTGCAAGCCTCTTTCAAATTCTGATTATTTTCAATTTTTTTATTAGATTTCCACAAAAAGTATACGAAAAATAGCTTTTTGTATCTTATATATTTAGAAATAATTTAGCAAATTTAAAACCCAATAAATAATTTTGAAAATGCAGTTATAAATTTATTCTTTTAAACTGAGGGTTTTTTTTTTTTAATTTTCGGTGCTGATATGTTCAACTATATTAAAATCAGGTTCTTTAAACGATTATTTCAACAAATTTGTTTCAGTGTGAACTGAGAATTTTCATGGACAGATATTAAAAAGCGCACATCGTGGTAAAACAATATTTTCGCATCGAACCTAATAATAGTTTAAAATAAAATTTAAATATTTATCATAAAATTTAATAATACTACACTAAATTTAAAAATACTGTTATGATCAGAATTAATAACTGACTTCATTCATTCATACCTTTAATTAAATTGGATGATTAATAAGAAGAAAACTACATAATTCATACTTATATTTTAAATCTAAACCCTCAATGAATATAAAACATAAATGTTACTGTTTTTATCATCTAAAGTGATAACTTACAAATGTAAATATTTTTTCGGAAAAATAAATTATTCAATTATTTTTGGGTTATTCTACCTGCAAAAATACATCTTCAGTTCCTACATACTGTTGGAATTTAACTTCATATTCTGGTTTGGATCTTATATCTGCTTTAACATCAATAGCTTCAGGAACAGCAATGATGTCATCGATTTGCCATATATCCTTTTGTAAATCATTAATGGTTTGTATCTCAATGATTTTACCTGATGCATTCGATTTTTCATTCGTAATGCAGTCTTTAGTAATTATTTTAACATCTTTACCGGTTTTTGATTTGCCTGTAGTATATATTTATATAAATTAATAATCATTTTTAGAAAATATTCATAAGATCTACGAAATGATAATTATTTTTAAATTATGTACATATTTTGAGCTTCAATGCGAAGCTGAGAAGGTATTACTACCTTATTACTAGTACTATGATGTTTTTTTTTGTGTGTGTGTGTACTGTGAACGCTCAATCTCCGCTCTCACTGGACCGATTTTGATGAAAATTATGTTAAAAGATCACAAAGCGTATCTAGTCAAAGACATTACCCTCAAAATTTGAAAAAAAATTCCATCGTTTTCCGTAAACGGGGGAAATCCCTTAAAAAAATTACAAATTTAAAAATCGCTAATTTTCGATATTTTTTCAATTTTTTTTACTTAAAATTGCCATAACTTTTTTAAAAATTACCTTTCATCATATATATTTTTTTTATAGATACCTTAGGTATTTACCTATCATTTCATTTATTTTTGTGAACATTTGACCCTTTTACTAGCCCACATGAAGGGTTTCAAAATGGTAACTTTTTTACAAAAAATTAACTTTTGAAAATATTCCAGAAATACTGACACTTTTATATATACTTTAAATTAAAGCTAATGTAATATAATTTAATTTGAAAAAAAAATTTGACCCCTGGACTTGTCTTCATGGTAAAAATAAACATCAAAGTTAATAAAAAAAATACAATTTTTGTAAAATAATTATTTTTTATATTTTTAACTTAATAATGCTATAAATTTTTGGAAAATGTATGGATCAATATTATTATTTTTTTATAATAAATTATTATAAACTTCTTTCATCTGTACGCTATTTTTGTAAATCGAATCATATCCTTTTATACAAGGGGGGGTCAAAACTTTAAACATGCGTATTGAAACTAGGACATTTTCAATTTAATTTTTGAAAGTGTTCCAGAAATACTGAAACTTTTATATATAACTTAAATTAAAGCGTATGTAATATACTTTAATTTGAAAAAAAAAATTTACCTCTGAATTTGTCTTTATGGTGAAAATGATTACCATATTCAAAAATATGCTATTTTTGTGTTAAAATTCTGGGTATTGTATTTTATTTTAAAATACTTCACAAGGGGAGTACAAATTTTCATAAATATTATATAAATAAAAAATTGATATAGCATAGAAAGTTAAACTTATTTAAATTTTTTTGCTTTTTTAAGTCAAGAAAAATAACTTTGAAATTTGAACTAGCTTAAATAGCCAATTTTTTCAGGCCAAGGTAGTGACGTACGGTTGCCGAATAGGTAAAACTTGTATTTTACGCGCTTAGGGTACAAGGTTCCGACCCGCGTATGGCAATGCATTTTTTTTTAATTCTTTTTGTTAGAATAAATTTTTACCTGCTTTAATTTTTATCTCACTTAGATTCAATAACTTCAATAAAGATCAAGGATCCCATCACTGTAGTCGCCATTCGCGAGAAGAAATTTCTTATTTATATTAAAATTATTTTACTATATTTTAAATTTTAGATTCAATGCAAAGCTGAAAAGATATTTTTTTGTGACTATCATTTATTTTCTCTGCTATAACTTGACCTACTTTTTTCAACGATATGTCAAATGACTACAATTCGTATCTAGTTGAAGATATTACCCTCAAAAATTGAAAAAAATTCTAATTTACCAATTAAACAGTTACTTATCCCATGTTCTCCATACAGACAATTAAAATCATTTATAATATTTTCAAAGTATTTATTGACGCATTAAGTTCGATATGATAGGTTTCAAATACAAAATGAAATCATTTTACTTTGTATTTTAATCATTTTTTTTACTGTATTTGTGTGTGCTATTACTATAATATTCCAAATATTTTGGTAACATGTTGCTATATAAATCATTTCTAAAAAAAAAATTATTGTTAATTTCTCCTGAATTAACAATGGATTTTTATATCTTTTTAAAAACTTTTTTTTGATTAGTTATTTTAGTTAAAGTAAATCATTAAAATTAATTAAGTTCATATTTCAATTGTAGAATCTTTTTAACACCAAAAACTAGGAAATGATTACTATTATTTCTATTTAAGTTATCTATTAGGATAAAAATGCAAAAAAATAATGAGCTACCCTGATAAATAGTAATTATAAAACTTCTTAACTGCATATTATTCTTAACGGTACAATTTTTTTAATTCTCATAAAATTTTCTATTTAATGTCAATTTCAAACTTGCCAATTGAGCTAAAAGTTATGGTAAAATAAATAAATTTTTTTTTAATATAAACATTCACAAAAATCAACTTTAAACGATTAAAAAAATAGGTTAAATATGTCATTTTCCTTATTCTTAACATATTAATAATCAAAATCAGTATTAATTTAAAACAATTTTTTTAGCTTCGATACGAAGCTAAGAAGGTATTAATTTTACTATGTGTTTTTTTTTTTTTTGTGTGTCTGTTACCACTTTTTTCATTAAACCTTTTAAACAAATTTAACGACTCTGGCGATACAAAGTCATTCAGTTATTTTTTTTTAAATAGTTTACTATTATATAGGTTTATTGTAATTTTAGCTTCGATGCGAAGCTGAGAAGGTATTAGTTTTACTATGATGTGTTTTTTTTTTGTGTCTGTTACCACTTTTTGCATTAAACCTTTTAAACAAATTTAACGACTCTGGCGATACAAAGTCATTCAGTTATTTTTTTTTAAATAGTTTACTATTATATAGGTTTATTGTAATTTTAGCTTCGATGCGAAGCTGAGAAGGTATTAGTTTTACTATGATGTGTTTTTTTTTTGTGTCTGTTACCACTTTTTGCATTAAACCTTTTAAACAAATTTAACGACTCTGGCGATACAAAGTCATTCAGTTATTTTTTTTTAAATAGTTTACTATTATATAGGTTTATTGTAATTTTAGCTTCGATGCGAAGCTGAGAAGGTATTAGTTTTACTATGATGTGTTTTTTTTTTGTGTCTGTTACCACTTTTTGCATTAAACCTTTTAAACAAATTTAACGACTCTGGCGATACAAAGTCATTCAGTTATTTTTTTTTAAATAGTTTACTATTATATAGGTTTATTGTAATTTTAGCTTCGATGCGAAGCTGAGAAGGTATTAGTTTTACTATGATGTGTTTTTTTTTTGTGTCTGTTACCACTTTTTGCATTAAACCTTTTAAACAAATTTAACGACTCTGGCGATACAAAGTCATTCAGTTATTTTTTTTTAAATAGTTTACTATTATATAGGTTTATTGTAATTTTAGCTTCGATGCGAAGCTGAGAAGGTATTAGTTTTACTATGATGTGTTTTTTTTTTGTGTCTGTTACCACTTTTTGCATTAAACCTTTTAAACAAATTTAACGACTCTGGCGATACAAAGTCATTCAGTTATTTTTTTTTAAATAGTTTACTATTATATAGGTTTATTGTAATTTTAGCTTCGATGCGAAGCTGAGAAGGTATTAGTTTTACTATGATGTGTTTTTTTTTTGTGTCTGTTACCACTTTTTGCATTAAACCTTTTAAACAAATTTAACGACTCTGGCGATACAAAGTCATTCAGTTATTTTTTTTTAAATAGTTTACTATTATATAGGTTTATTGTAATTTTAGCTTCGATGCGAAGCTGAGAAGGTATTAGTTTTACTATGATGTGTTTTTTTTTTGTGTCTGTTAACACTTTTTCTCAACTCTCACCGAACCGATTTCTTTCAACAATACGTCAAAAGATCACAAATCGTATCTTGTTGAAGACTTTACCCTTAAAAATTGCAAAATTTTCCCTCGTTCCCAATGATGGGGGAATATTCCAAAAAAATTACAATTTTTAAAATCGGTAAATTTTGTCATTTTTTCCATTTTTTTTACTTAAAATTGACATAACTCTTTTAAAAATATTCAAATCAATATAAATTTTTTTTTATAGATGCATGATGTATTTACCTATCCTTCGGTATATTTTTTTTATAAATATGACCTTTTACCTGCCCACAGAGGGGATTCAACATTACAACTTTTTCAACTTAACTTTTGAAAGTGTTCCGGAAGGTCTGACACTTTTATATATATCTTAAATTAAAATTAATGTAATGTACTTTATTATGAAAAAAAAAAATTTCGGACTTTATTTTGTTTTCATGGTGAAAATGGCTACCGAATGCTATTTTTGTGTGAAAATTCTCGATTTCATAATTTACATTTTTTACTTTATAATGCTATAACTTATTGAAAAGTGTAAGGATCAACACAATTTTATTTATGAGAAATAATATTTTTTAATAATCCCTTTTTCATTCGACATACTTTATCTTAATCAGGATATTAATCAGGAAATAGCAGATCATGTAGTTTTTTGAATAATCCACCAATTTTTTAAAATTAAACACTATTTAAAGATTTGCATCGAAGCGTTTCTTATGATAGTGATTTTAATCACTGTCAGATATCATTATACTTGACCCAACTATACCACGTCTACTGTGCCACGACCCCCCTATGCTGGGTTTTTTTTGTTAAATATTTGTGAAATTTTGTATGACGTTAGTGGGAATGTCCAACAGATTTTAATTATACATTTTAGAATATTTTGTTTTGGTAAATGACAAAATTGTCTTTTTATGACTAATGAGATTTCTTTTCTACATTAAAATATTTATTTGAATAGTTTTATCCGAGTAATACTTTTCCTTACCGACGATTTGACACTGTCATTTAAGTGATAGATATTTCGATGATAATACAGATTATAATCTTATTAAATTAATGTAACCTAATGCTTTTAAGTTTTTCGAATTCCTAACCGGTTCTATTATAAGAAATTAGGTCTAGGTCTCCTAATTTTGATCTAAGTTTTCACACAAGTAAACGCGGCAAATTTAAAATCACAGGCTAACGATGATAGATTCAAAGTTGGTTCTAGAGTTTCAACAGTACCAAATAATTTTTCATAAGAATTCGTCTTTTTATTTGGTAATAATGCATATAAAATTTTATGTACATCTCTTAACGATTCTATTAAAATTACATATCGTCGCCTAATAAATACCGGTGAATCATTAAAAGTACTTTTACAATAAAGAACCATGAGTTGTGTTTATGTTCATTGTCACTTATTTTTAAAACTCCTGACGTTTGTGCGCAAGTATGCAATTTTTTAGTATAAATATCCTTACTACGATATCGCCAAAACTATTTTAATTCATTATTACTAAACTTAAACTTTCAAATGCGTTTTGTCTCCATTGTTGTCGAAGGTTAAGTTTACACTATTAACTCATGTTACACCAACATGACTTATAAACAAAAACTATACTATATGATAATATATATTTTGTTTTAAAACTATTAATTTTATTTTTTATTAGTTATTTTTTATTATTGAAGTATTATAAGTATACTGTTTCCAAAAATTAATATTATAATTACTTACATAACTGCACAAGTGACTGTTTGGGAAGATCATCTTCACTATCTGAAGAATTTACTTTTGGATTGAGTAATTCACTTAACTTTTTCATATCCATAAAGTCCATTTTCACAAACTAATTACATGTACATAAATATATTTTAGATATAGCGACTGATATTGATAAAACTTGCTGTTCAACTTCTGTTTTAAACTTGGCGTGTTGCTATAGCAATATGATTTAAATAGTAATTGTATTTTATTTTTACATGTATTTATTACCACAAAGTTAAGATATTCATTTTATTTATGAAAAATGGTAAAGATTTGTTCAGATAAAAAAAAAAATTAAATCAATACAAGGCTGAAAAATTACAATAAAATAAATCTATTTTTTTAGCTTTGATGTGAAGTTGAGAAGGTATTAATTTTACCTAATTTTATTAATTATATTTTAGTTTTTTTTTTTTTATGTCTGTTGCCACTTTTTCTCAGCTCCCACTGTACCGATTTCTTTCAACAATACGTCAAAAGATCACAAATCGTATCTTGTTGAAGACTTTACCCTTAAAAATTGAAAAAAATTCCCTCGTTCCCCGCAAATGGGGGAAATATCCAAAAAAATTACAAAAATAAAAATCGCTAATTTTCGAAATTTTTTCACTTTTTTTTTTCTTAAAACAACCATAACTTTTTTAAAAATTAACAAATCAACCTTTTTTTTATATTGAAAAATTAGATATTTTCTTTTTATTTGATATCATTTATTTGAAAATTTAACACATAACCTGCTCACAGGGGGGAATTTAAAATAGCAACTTTTTTAACTTAACTCTTGAAAATGTTCCGGTTAAAACTGAATCCTATAAACATGTATCAAATTAAAGATTATGTTATGTACTATAAAATAAAAAAAACAAATTTGTCCCAACAGCTCATCTTTTACGTGCCAACGGTTGTTTTCGTTCAAAAAATGCTATTTTTGTGTTAAAATTTTCATTTTTTGATTTTATATTTTCAACTTTAAATTGCTATAACTTTTTTAAAAATGTATGTATCAACACAAATTTATTTTTCCTAAATACATTATGAATACTTCTTTTATTTGACATACTTATTTAAATTATTTAAATTGGACAATTTCTCCTTATCTTCTGCATGTAAACGGCTACCGTAGTTAAAAAAACGCTAATTTTGTGTTAAAATTTTCGATTTTAAAGTTTCAACTTAAAAGTGCTATAACGAAAAATGTATGTATCAGCACAATTTTTTTTTTCTAAATACATTATAAGTACATCCTTCATTTGACATACTTTTTATTAAAATTGGACAATTTCCCCATATATAGGGGGCGTTCAAAATTGAAACATACGTATAAAAAGTAGAACTTTTTCAACTTAACTTTTGAAAATGTTCCCGAAATACTTCGTTCTTTTAACATATATTAAATTAAAACTTACATTATGTAATATAAGTTAAGAAAAAAAAATTTGTCCAGACGACCTATCTTCTATGTACAAATAATCGTTAAAATTTAACAAAAAATGTAATTTTCGTGTAAAAAATTAATGTTATTTTGATACTTAAAAATGCCATAACTTTTTGAAAAATGAACGAATCACATAATTTCTTTTTACATTGAAACCTTAGATATTTCCTTTTCATTTAATATAAATTTTTTGAAAATCTGATACTTAACCACCCACAGGAGGGGATTTAAAAAAATAATTTTTGCACATAAATTAAACTTTTTCAACTTAATTTTTGAAAATATTCAGGAAATATTGACACTTTTATATATAAATCTTAAATTAAATCTTATATAATATACTGCACTATGAAAAAAAAAATTCAAAATATATATCTTCTTAATAGTGAAAATGGCTACCATATTCGAAAATATGCTATTTTTGTGTTAAAATTCTTGGTATTGTATTTTAATTTATTTAATATACCTTATAACGGGACTACACTGATTTTGATGAATATTATATAAATTTAATTGATATTAATTTAACTGTAGAATATAAAGTTAAACTTATTTAAATATTTTTGTTTCTTTTGTGTCGCAAAAAGTGGCTTTAAAATTTGATTTAGTTTAAATTACTAATTTTTACTAATGAAGAATATGACGAATGGTTGCCAAGCCGATAGCACTTATGTTTTCACGCTTGGGGTACTAGGTATGAACCTAGTACCCCAAGTATGAACCCGCCTGAGGCAATGAATTTTTTCCTTAAATCTTTTTGAGTTAGAAAAAAATTTACGCTTTCCGCTAAAAAGCTTATGTAGTATATAAATATAATCTAAATTTCGAACTTTATTTTGTTTTCATGGTCAAAACGGGCATTAAAGTTAATAAAAAAAAAAAAACAGCACAGTAGGGACGTGGCATAGTAAGGTCCAATATAGATTTAATCTGACAGTGATTAAAATCATAATCGTAAGAAACGCTTCGATACAAATCTATAGATAATGTTTAATTCTAAGAAATTGGTGGACAATTACAGAAGAAACATCAACTATTTCCTTAATTATATCCAGATAAGTAATTCTTAGAATCAACAATATAACAAAATTATATATTATATAATTGTTATATTGAATTGTTTTCCAATTATTATTGATATTGATTTTTAATATGTTAAAAGAAATAATTTTTAACCTTCTATATTTCGTCCTTTAAAGTGAAAGTTTATAATAAAAACAAAAAAATGAATTTATTACCATAACTTTTAGCTCGACTTGCAAGTTTCAAATTGACATAATTAAATAGAAAAATATAGTATTGTTAAGATTAATATGCACTCTTCTTGAATGCAAATTAATCTTAATTTTATAATTACTATGTACAGTAAATTTATCAGAAAAGCTCTATTTTTTTTCGCATTTTTTATTGTAATAGATCACTTAAATATAAAACATAGTAATCATTTATAATTAACTCTTGGTATTTAAAAAGAAAATAACAGAGAACAATAGAACATACTATTATTATACTAAAGTATTATTAAAATCAACTATTTAAACTATCATGCCTTTAAACAGTATGATATATATCTTAGTTTTTATGCATTTATCGAAAAACTCTATGAAAAACAAAATTGTCCTAACATTTAAATTGTCTACTTAGTTTAACCACAATTATCATATTATCAAGAAAACTATCATTATCTATGACTTAATATATATATAGCGAGCATAGTATTTACGATTAAAGACGTGCTATGTGAAAATATTAAACGTTATTAAATTATAAAAATAAGTAACTATCTCTATGGTATTCCACAGATGACTTGATAAATTAACTACACGTGTTCATAATCTTACATTATCAACAAAATAAAGGATACAGTGTAAATATTATTGAATACGTAAACGTTGCCAAAATAAAGTCTAAAACACATTTCAAACTATATTTTTAATTAATATTTGATACCCAACTAAATTAAACTATTCATTAAGGTGCTATCCCTTAATTTTTTTTTAATAATCAAAAAAATGAGCTGTGCAAAATATGAGACCGATCCATAAAGGTTAACCCGTGCCCCCCGGCCTATTAAGTTGAGTTGAAGAGGCAAATTTAATTGAAATAACTGATCTATGTCTCATAACTTTTTTTTTGCTTAACTTAGAATTATGAAAGTAAAACTCAAATAAAGGAAATTTTACAAGAAATTCATAAATAATAACTTCAATGTATTTTTCTTAATAAATAGCCCACAAAAACACTACATACAGTAAAAAAACATGTAAAAGTCTTAAAATTATGTTATAACGGATTTTGTTGATGTTTACTTATTTATTTTCATTTTATTCTTTGGAAAACGCATATTCGTTTAAAAAAAGATCTAAAAGTTAAATTTTTTATTAGATTTATTATTTTATGGCCAGTTAATTAATGATTAATTACATTTTGTCGTATTACTGTATCAATTTAAACGGAATTTATTTTAACTGTTTCAGAACTTAGAAAAGATATAGCAAACAGTTTATACCACAGACTTGGACAACACGACAAATGCGCGGAGTATTTTTGTTCTGGATCTAAACCTGGGGAGATGAATCTAGTACCAGACGCAGAAAAAGCAGGAATGATGTCCCAAATGAAAAATATATTATATAGACTGTCTGTTAATGCTGATAGTCTAATTGAGAATGTAGATAATAATCCACGTGAACAATTGAATAGCTTAATTAATAAGCATGTCGGTTGTAAAAGAATTAATTTTACTCAGAAAAATAATTATGGTACTAGGGTTGAAGTAGCTGTAATAGCTTTTAACTCAAAAAATTATTCACTTAAATTTAGTGGTCCCGATAGAGATTACGGTCTAGTGGAACCCTTAGATAACATTCCACCTGAAGAAGAGCTACGTGAGAAGATGAGTAATTTTTTGGTAAAATTAAACGAAGTTGATGTAAAAAAACTAAAATTTACTACAAGGGATCAACGCCACAGCCAAGATTGGTACATAGAAAGAAAAAAAAGACTAACTGCATCAAATTTGGAGATATTTGTAAAATGCGTGTCAATACAAGTTGTTGCAAAAAAGTGTACAGTCTTCTATATGGTCCTCGTGTCACATCGAAGGAAATGTCTTACGGAATTGAAATGAAGCATCAGGCTAGAACTCTTTTTGAGCAGCTTTATGAAAAGCATGTTCAAGAAAATGGATAATTTATTGTTAAGGAGTACGCTTTTTTGGCAGAAAGTCCTGGTAGTACTATTTATAATTTTCATTATAACATAAACTAAAGAATTTATCATTTTATTTAGATGGCCTTGTTGTAATAGGCCCTTCACACAACCGAACAAAATGTTTTTCTGTTATTCTTTCATCTTCTACCCACACACCAATAAATTACAAAACACAATCAACACTTTCTATCACTGACTGCAGATACACACACAACTCACACAATCATGCCATGCACACACATCCGTTCCTTCCCAACATGTACAACCCCGTTGTATTACAAAATCCTTCTACAATGTCAGCAAAATAGCAACAAAAGAATCTAAATAAATGTAAGGCCGATGGTCATGTACGTGTCTGGAAGAGGACTTTGGAAGGACACCAAAGGACTCCATGGGCTCGTCTGACACGGCCTGTTTCGATCGTACTCCGGAACGAACACGTCCAGTTTTATAAGTAAACTCCGCATTTTTCTCTGTATCGTTTATATAATATTGACAATATTTGAATTAGTGTGTACAAATATTTTATTTAAGTTTCATGTACTATTTCTTTTACCATATGAATCATTTTTGTGTATTTTGTGTAATAAGTGACAATAATTATATCATTTGATAATTGACATCAACTTGTTTTGTGTTGAAATTATTATTACATAAATCCTGTCTTCGGCATTAAGGATAACATAAATATTCAGGTAACACTATTTGAACTCAACCTGCATGCTTTATTTTACAACGGTAGACCCTCGAACCATACGCCCGAGTGAAGGTCAGATCCCGCGTATTTCCCCTTTCATTTCAATCCTAAATCCCTCGCCCTTTTCCTTTTTTTATTTTTGTTTTACAACAGCCTGATTGAAAACACAGCTATAATAGAAATTAAGTGCCCATATGTAGCTAGGTCCACAGAAAATGCATTTGAAGCTATCCAACAAAAATGAGTTAAATATTTTATCTTACTTACTATTTATTTTACTTCAAACATGTTTATCATTTTCAGTTACCATATAGCGTGATTAAAAATAATAAAATTGAACTAAAAAAAGAGCATAAATATTATTACCAGGTTATGGGCCAAATGTGAATAACAGGAGGAGAAATTTGTTACTTTATTACCCGTTATTAACGTAAATATGACCATGAATTTTGGATTACAAAAATGGAAGAAAAAGTAAAATGTGAAATTTTATTAACTATTTACAAAATTTATTACTTAAAAGAGAATGACATAAATAACTGAACGACGTTTTAGATTTTACTTGGATTGTCTTTTGCCAGAAATAGTTTGCCCTTTGTATGGAAAACGTTTAGAACTAACGGACATAAGCCAGAACACATACAAGAAGCAATTTAAAAAAAGTGGAAAGAAGTATGCATGATATATAATATCATTATTAAATTAAATATTCTTAAAAATAATTATCTTTTTTATATCAAAAATAAACATTAAAAATATTTTAGCTAATTTAAATAATGTATTATGTATTTTTTAATCATGAGTAAACGTTCAAAAAGTATGATTTAAATTAAAATCTAGCAAATATATCAATACGTTTATTTTTAACAAATTACTTAAAGAGTTAAGACCACAGAGAGTGTAATAGTTTTTAGCTAGGCGCGAGAATTACGTTTATAATAAAGTGCAAACTAATGCTGCTAGACGACAGCTTAAACACAGAAGTCGGTGAAAGAATGTAGTAAAATGAATAAGAAGTATGCTCGATCACAGTCCACATTTTCGTCGTAGTACACGCAAGTGCATCGCGTTGTGTTTTTGTGCAATCGTATACGATCAGTGAAATACGACCACTGCCGAATGCACTTTAAAATCGCGCGATTTTGAAATTGATAATTCTGATATAATATATATGATAGACATAATTTTTAAGTAATAATTATATTAATTACTTTAAAACAACGCATTGTAATAATATTTTATAATAAATTTAATTGTGGATACTTATTTTAGATTCTATGTATTTTTTTGTTGTAACTTTTGTATTTTAATTAAAAATTAGGATTTTGTACCTCGTTAATTAATCGTGAGCTATATTAACTAGTGTACACACTTATTTTTTCATGTTCTAACATTGAATTAACACCACTTTAACTTACTAATAACAGTTCTTATTACTTTCATGAAACTGTTGTTAACTAAAAAAAGTTCATTAAAATACTTGGTTAAAACGGGACAGTGCCCCTTAATATAGAATATGTACAACGCAATGTATTTACGTCTGACGTCACGTTGTGTTTATTGTTGGTTGCATATTTTGCTCCTAGGCATATCATGCGCACTAATTTGATCGAGCATACTTCTTATTCATTTTACTATGGTATCACTGAAGTCAAATGTCAACTATGCACAGCGATAATTTTAAAATGGTGGAGGGCGTGGTCTTCGCCAATACGCAAAACAACGCTATCTCTGGAGCGTTGTATACGTTTTATGTTCTGTGTGGCGTACTTTTAATAAATTCATGTAAAAGTCTAAGCACGATTACATATAGAAGGTTAATTTTAGATTATAATTATACTTATATGTATATGGTAGTATTTTAGTTATTTTAGAGGAGCAGTTTTCAATTTGCGCGTATAAAAATTTCCCCTTTTTCCTTTTCCTGCTAAACAGGTAAAACCAAACCTTGTAATAAAAAAAAAAAATAAGAACCGGGTATTTTTATGAATACTGGCAAAAATGAATATTCAGTGTTTCTATACTTTTTTACCAACTTAAATTTTAAATAACTTCAATCATTTTTCAATAAAAAAAATTAATATTAATTAACCCTTCCTTGAGATGTTAGAGGTAACTTATCCTATTAAATCCTTTCGCCTATAAGAACTCAGCTAATTAATTATTTTAATAACTATATTTACTACTTACACAATATCAAGAATCAATTTATACGATTTAAAAGAGTACTAATTTCAAAATAAAGAGTTAATCAATTATCACAAACAATGTTACCATTATCAACACTAAGCACATACTGACAGTAACATTGTTTCCGAAATACATATCCGCGACTTTTCATTAATTTTTTGTGGCTTTGAGTTTAATATTTATTAGTTTTTTAAATTAATAATATTTTTAATATAGTTTTAATTTTACTTAATTAATTAGCCACAAGTGATGAATTTTTATTATGAGAAATATATATATTTTTTTTAATGTTTTATTAAAAGTGCAATGGTTTATTAAGCAAAAACAACAAAATTTTTATTTTGAAAAAGTTGTTCCAAGTTTTGTTACCTATAGCCAAGTTAAGATAAGTTAAATTTTTAGGGGAAAAAAAATATTATATTACTTTATTTCTTGATTTAAATTTCATATTATAAATTTCTATTCACTGCTTAAACAATGCATATCAAAAATGTTTTATTTCAATTTAATGAATGTGGTCAAAGTTAAACTATTTATAACTATGAATTATGAATACCAGAAACCTTAAAAATAAATTAGTAAATAGGTGTAAGTGCAAAACAAGTTAGATTTCTAGAGTAATTAAGTTTTTTTTGATACATGTAAATTTAAATTTTATTACTTATGTCGTTTTTGATATGACCGTTTTAATTATTTTTTATCATTATTTTGTAGAAAACTTTTTTTCTTTTGCTCAACTTAGAATTTTTTTCACTTTGGAATTGTAAAACACCTGTATGAGAGTTATATTTTATAACAGAATATGCATAATACATGAATTCATTTAAAATATGCGTAATGCCATAGAAAATTAAGTATAAAGATAACCCTCCTACAGACATTTCAACAATTCCTAATGAAAAAAAATCATTTTCACAAAAAAAAAACCTTGTTTCCTCATAAAATGCATTGCAATCATTATCTTTGAGTTAGGTCCAGTTTGGAGTTTTTGTTCTGAATAACTATTATTTCTCCCTTAATAAATAATAATATCTTCATCATATAATAATTTTTTTTGGAAGAAATTTATCCCACCTACACCACTTTCTTTCAAGCACAAGAAAAACTGTAAAACCTAGCACTGACACAATGAAAAGAGAATAGGTAAAAATTTATTTATTTTAATTTATAAAATTTATACTTATAATTTTTTTTTAAATTATATGTTAACATCCTCTAATATTAAATAACTGCCAATTATAACAATAAAATATTGCAAAGTGTGTGAACCTCATATCATCCTATAACCTTTTCTTGGCACTGCACTGATGCCAATTTTAAAATACTGTAGAACCTGGATAAGTTAAAGCTCAAGTGAAATTATTTTTTTTAACTTAATAAGGTTTTTGAACAATTAAAAAATAAAAACTGACTTAAAATTATTTAAGAATTTGAGTTTGTATTCAACTCTTATCTATAAAAATATAACAGATTGATTCCAATTGGCAATACTAAAATGTATGAAGTTTTAATGAATTTATGTATTTATTTTAATTATTAACAGCTTTTAAATTTAAACTAATGCTTTAACTAGTCTAAACTACCACAGTCAAATCTTTTAGCTATAAAACTACAAAAAAGTTATTTGTATTATCTATAATATTTATTTCTTTTGAGTAAAATTTCCTTTTTCAAGGAACGGAATATACTTAACCTTATCAAAATTCTACTGTAGTAAACATAATATCTATAAAAATAATCATTTTACTATAGTTTTTTTTTAAATACTTGAATGTAACATATAAAATAACAATTATTTATATCTTAAATTTTAAGATATTTTTTTACTACTCCCTCTATTATTACATCATAAAAAGAGTACTTATAATAACTACATGTATTACTTCATTACATTGCCCTATTTTAATTTAAAAATTTAAGAATTACTATTAGATTTATTTATTTTTTGCAATCTAATATTGTTCAAAGAAAATTCAAATGAGAAATTTAGCTACAATACTTTCATTGTAGTATAACAAATCATTCTAATGTTGATCTGATATGAAATTAAAGCTTACTAATGTAGTATGTTAAGACAAGTGTATAAAAAACCAATAGACATCAAAATTGTACAAAAACTATAAACAATTGTTGAAAAAACACAATTGTTTCGAGGGAAAAATGTAAATAACATGTTATATTAGAGTATGTTATAATCAGGAAAATAATTAGCATGTAATTACTTCAATTCTCGTTGGTGATGGCAAACTGTTCATAAAAATGTATTGTTAGTATTTTTAATTGATAATTTAAATACAGATTTCAACGATAATTAATTATTTTGGTAATAAACAAAATAATCTTCGATTTAATGTTTATTTTTTCAAAATTCATAACAATACAATGTACAAATTTTGACTACTAAGCAAAAAATATTTTTTTTTTAGAATAGGTTTTAGCAAAAATTTTAGTTCCATACACTGAAAAAAAACCCAGCACAGTGGGGTCGTAGCATAGTTTGGTCCAGTATAGATGATATCTGACATTAATTAAAATCACTATCATAAAAAACGCTTTGATGCAAATCTGTAGATATTGTTTAATTTAAAAAAAAAAATTTTTCAAAAAAATAGGTCAAGTGAGAGCTAAGAAAATAAATGATAGCAACAATAAAAAACCACATGGTAAAATAATATTAATATGAATTTCTTCTCATGAGAGGAGACTACCGTAATGGGATTCTTGATATTTTAAGATTTCAATGGGTGAAAATTTTAGAAATTTGTAGATAGTTGTGCCGAGAAAACGCTGAAGAACAAGAAGACGAAGAATTATTAAGAGCGGTCGATATATTGCATGAAAGAGATCCTTATGACTTATTGCTACGTGATCCAAACTCAACTGCTAACGTTGATTTACAAAATGCATCTCTGCATAAACTTGGCGCAATAGCTAAAGGCTGATTTACACGATGCCAGTTGTTGGCATGCCAGCTGGTATGCTAGCTGGAAGGTCACTGGCGTCTGTCAACTGGAATTGGCAACCGACTGGCGCCTATCGTTTACACGATGCTGGTTACTGGCAGACACTAGTAGCTAGTGGTAGTGTATTATCAATTCAAGNTATTATTATAATTCATCATTTACAAACTTCAATTCAAGAACCATTTCAAATTTTTTTTACGGGACTAGCTGGTACGGGAAAATCATTCGTTATCAAACTGATTATGGAAATTTACAACAGGTTCACTGATAATGATGGTTACTGCAATGCCTATATTACATGTGCTTCAACCGGCAAAGCTGCCGTGGCTAACTGTTCATACAGCTCTCAAAATTTCTCTTTCAAAACTTTTGCCTTTATCACCAGAAACGTTGCAATTGTATATATCTCTCTTCAGATATGTCAGAGTACTGATCATTGATGAAATTAGCATGGTTAGTGCAGAACTTCTACATTAAATTGATAATCGTCTAAAACAAATAACAGGAACAAACACAGATTTTGAAAGTATAGATTTTTTTTCGATCGGAGATTTACGGCAATTGCCACCAGTAAGATCGACACCTATTTACAAGACAATCTGAACGAGCATGATTGAAATGCGGTCAGCATTTATGGAGAAAATTAAAATTTTATCAACTTACCACAGTAATGAGACAAGCTAATGTTGTATTTTCACAAGTTTTGACAAAAATAGGCAATAGAGATGTACTAGATGAGCATGAGTTTCAACTTATTAAATCGAGATTTTTCAAAAAAAAGCATGTTGCCACCTATAAAAATTTGATTTTGAGCCAATGTGACAACAAAGTTCTTTCAACGTCCGTAGGCGTCATTATTGGCGCTAAAAGTACTGAGCAAGAAGCTAACTTTAGACTTAAATTACATAAAAAAATCTGTTATTGACACTGGAGGACTGCCTTATCACATTACTTTTGTTATTGGAAAGCATTATGTTATTACAACCAACATCGACGTTACTGATGGTTTATGCAATGGTGCTGTTGGGAAATTGGTACATCTAGAATTTGATGAAAGTAACACATTGATTAGAGTTTGGCTGGAATTTTCTGGTTCAGATAAATTGGATAGAAAAAAAAGGCATAAGGCAGCCACTCTAGCAGTGCAAAATAGAGTCGGGAATCTCGCTGTTCCAATTGAATTACGAACAGCAAATATTTCAATAACATCGGATAGAAAATGTATAGCCATTTTCCATTAACTTCAGCTCTTGCTATACATAAACTATACATAAATCGCAAGGTGGAACTTTTGACGAAATAGTATATGAGTATAGTAAAGCACATTCTCAGGAACTCGTTTATGTTGCGCTCTCTCGTGTGACTAATATTGAAAAATTGTATATCACGACAAAAAACGAAAATTCTACATTCAAGTTGTTGTGGATCCTTTTACACTTAAAAAATAATAAATTAAATACACAAGTTCTTAAAAGAATAACATTAATATAAGAACACACAACACCACCAGGTCTCGTCGAATGCCGGTCAGCAACTGATAACAACAAGATTAATATAGAGAGTGTACACCACATCCTCCCCTCAATGTATATACAATAAAAACAAAAATATATTTTCTTTTTTTTATAGAAAAAATACATAGAATTATAAAATATTAAATGTTAATCATTATGATATATAATTATTAAAGATGTAAAAATATAATATTTCATGACACATAAAATTAAACATATATTAATTTAAAATATTATGTAGGTTGACATAGCTTCTCATGAGGACGAAGTTTGCGTTCCCGAGGTTCATCATTTTTTTTTATTTCAATACTCTTATTATTATAGGATAAATTGTTTTCATTTCCCCATATTACCCCCTGTTTTAGTATTAAGTGTTCTCTCGTTCTACGGTACTTCACTCCATCTTCCCCCGCCACAATAAAAGACCTCGGAGTACTGGCTAAATCTACTACTTTCCCTGGCACCCATTTTTTAGCTTCGATGCGAAGCTGAGAAGGTATTAATTTTACTATGATGTGTTTTTTTTTTTATTTTTTTATTTTTTTTTTTTTTTGTGTCTGTGAACGCTCAATCTCAGCTCTCGCTGGACCGATTTTGATGAACAATATGTCAAAAGATCACAAATCGTATCTAGTCGAAGACATTACCCTCAAAAATTGAAAAAAATTCCCTCGTTCCCCGTAAACGGGGGAAATCCCCCAAAAAATTACAAATTTAAAAATCGCTAATTTTCGATATTTTTTCAATTTTTTTTACTTAAAATTGCCATAACCTTTTTAAAAATGACCGAATCAATATAATTTTTTTTTTTATAGATACCTTAGATAATTACCTATCATTTCATTTATTTTTGTGAACATTTGACCCTTTAACAGCCCAAAGGGTTTCAAAATGGTAACTTTTTTACAAAAAATTAACTTTTGAAAATGTTCCGGAAAGACTGACAATTTTATATATACCTTTTTATATATACCTTAAATTAAAGCTAATGTAATATACTTTAATTTGAAAAAAAAAAATTTGACCTCTGGACTTGTCTTCATGGTGAAAATGACTACCGTATGCAAAAATATGCTATTTTTGTGAAAAAATTCTTGATATTATATTTTACATTTTTTAACATTATGTTGCTATAACTTTTTAAAAAATGCATGAATCAACTTTATTCTTTAATGATAAATACTTTATATATACTTCTTTCATTCGACATACTTTTTTTTAAAATCGGACCATTTCCCTTTATACAGGGGGGGTGCAAACCTTTTAAAATGCGTATAGAAAGTAGAACTTTTTCAACTTAACTTTTGAAAATGTTCCGGAAAGACTGACACTTTTATATATATCTTAAATTAAAGCTTATGTAATATACTTTAATTTGAAAAAAAAAAATTTGACCTCTGGACTTGTCTTCGTGGTGAAAACGGACATCAAAGTTAAAGAAAAACGTACGATTTCCGTGAAAAAAATCTCGATTTTATATGTTATATTATTTAATTTATATTTTATATAACTTTTGGAAAAATGTATGGATCAATATTATTATTTTTTTATAATAAATATTTATATACCCCTTTCATCTGGCACGCTTTTTTTGTAAATCGGATCATACCCCTTTAACAAGGGGGGTCAAAACTTTAAACATGCGTATTGTTACTAAGATATTTTC